ATTTCCCTGGTTACTAACAACATTGAGCAACTTTTCATGTTTATTAACCATTTGTATTTTCTCTGTTAATTACCATGCTTATATCCTATGCCCATTTTCTTCTTTTATTTTTAAATCTTTTATGTACACTCTCTCCTCACTTATCGACATGGTTAGGGTCCAAAGACAGGCCATTATGTAAAATTGTTGTTATGCAAAAATGGAGGATGACCACATCAGATCACAAAATGGAGGATGACTACATCATTACATAACTGCCAAACCACTGAGAATCACAGCCCAGCCAAGTTGACAAATAACCTTAACCATCAAAGCTAGCGTTACTTTCACCTCACACTATGACGTTTGTTACTGCCAGATGTACATTGTTAATGCACAAAATAGTCATATAGTAGATTTTGTGCTATTGATGTAAATGCGAAATGTCACATAATGAGAGAGTTGATAAGTAAGGAGAAGGTGTATTAATTTGTAGAAGTTCTTTGTATATTATGTTTATTAATCCTTGGTCTGTTGTATGTGCTGTAAACATTTTCTCTCAAAGACACTTTAAATAAAGGATTCCATCATCCTATTCTTGGGCATCTTTTTGGGGGGTATGACTCAATAGTGTTTTCATATCCCATTATACTACTTTGCAGTACAGAGCAGTAACACTTTACACAAAGGATCTTTCCTAAAGAAGTTTTATGACTGAAGACTGTCCCATGGGAATAAATATAAAGTAATAGTAGTGGAGATATTGTCTTGAGCACATAAATACACAGCCATTGTGACACAATACATGAATATATAAAATATGAAAATCTATGGACATATGTGTAGTAGTTAAGACTTTGGGACCAGACTACCTGAGTTAAAATATGGCCTCTGCCCGTTACTAAAAATTGTATGATCTTGGGCAAATTACTTAAATTCCCTAGGTGTCAGATTCCTCGCCTGTAAAATGGGGATAATAATAGTATCTGCATTGTTGCATTGGCAGGGTATCGAAACTGAGTCTCCCAGTGAGAATTCTACTACTGAACCACCAGTACCCCTGATGCACCTTCAGTGAGCTACCACCTGTTTGTCAATGGAGGCTTACACATTGCTATGATGCTGAACAGGCTTTAGCAGAGCTTCTAGACTAAGACAGACTAGGAAGAAAGGCCTGGTGATTTTAACCAATGAAAGCCCTATGGATCACAACGCTCCAGTCTGAAACTGAAGATGGGGATGGCACAGGACTGGGCAAAGTTTCCATCTATTGTGCATGGGGTCTCCATGAATTGCGAGCCAACTGGATGGCAGCTAACAACAAGGAGATTACCTACTTCCTAGGATTGTTGTGAGGATTAAATGAGTTAATATGTGCAAAGTGCTTTTAGCAGGGCTTGGCACATGGAGAACTCTATAAATATTTGCTATTACATAATAAAAGTTTGGCCTTCATAGTGTTTTTTATCACATCTGACTTCTGTTCCAAATTGACTTTTGGGTGTGTTTGCCTCAGCATCTAGTATGAACTCCTAATGAACACTGAGATAATATGGTTATATGACACAAAAAGATTAAAAAGAACAGCATGTGTGTTTTTTTTTTAAAGGCATGAAGTGTAAGAACAATGTCATAAAAAAGTTCAACATAAATAACAGTTTCTTTACAACATACTGACCAAGGATAGTAGGTATTTCTCCTTATCAGTTAAAGTGGTGAGGCAATTGTGTTTGTAATTTACTCAGCTTGCCATCATCAGCTTGCCAGATGCAGTTTTTGATTCTTTTTTATTTGAGGGGATTTATGTTATTTCACAATCTATGCATAAAGTGAGTTTATTGATTTTTATGTGTCATGATTCCCATAATTAAAGTTGCATACAGTGTGACCACTCTGTACTTGCCATAGTTCACTGGGTCATTTGTTGTCCTCTGAGCTGTTCATACTATTTTTCAGTATTGAGTGGGCCTGCTGATCTTCCTAGGAGTAACGAGTATGTTAAAACACAGAGTGAAACATCCCAGACTTACTCTAGGCTGAATGCCGAGCTAGCTTTGGGCCAAGTGATGCTATGGTAGGTGATTTAGTTCTTCTCTGGAGACTCCTGAACAGATGTCCTGCTCATCTAAGAGGTGATACTCCTTGACCCCTGTCCTCATACCCTTTGTGCACATGTGCTCCTTCACCCACTATGTGATGGAGTTGAAGAAGCCCAGAGTCCTGGAGATCCCTTGGTGGTTCTAAGATAAAACAGCATTTCTGTTTTCTTCCTTGCCACTAAATTTGGGATTAGGAGTTTGTACTTCTCATTCTTAGGGGTGGGGGTAGGGAGAGACAGGCCTTTGACAGGTGGTTCTTCTAGTGTGCTGGTATCACCGTGTGTGAGCCTTTGTGGCTGGTGCACTAAAATGCTGTGGTCACTACCATTTCAACTTGCCAGAATGGCTAAAATAAAAAAGACTGACAATAGCAAGGTTGGTACAGATGTGGAGCAACTAGAAGTCTTTGTGCATTGATAGTGGGTATAAAATGGTACAAATACTCTGGAACACTGTTTAACAATTTCTTCTGAAGTTACACACACATCTACCCTATACCTAGCAATTCCACTTCTAGGAATCTATCCAAAGGAAATGAAAAAATACGTCCACATAAAGGCTTGCATGTGAAAGTTCATAGCAGCCTTATCTTCATAATAGCAAAAAATTAAATAATCAAATACTATCAGTGGGAGAATGGATAAACAACTTGTAGAATATTCATACATTGGAATACTATTGTTGTTTTTTTGTTGCTTTTGAGTTGACTCTGACTCATGGACCCCACGACAACAGAATGAAACCTTGCCTGGTCCTGGGCCATCTTCATAATTGTTGATATGCTTGAGTCCATTATTGTCGTCACTGTGTTTTTGGAGTGCCTTCTAACCTAGGGGGCTCATCTTCCAGCCTATATTGGACAGTTTTCTGTTGTGATCCATAGGATTTTCATTGGCTAATCTTCGGAAGTACATCACCAAACCTGTCTTCCTAATCTGTCTTAGTTTGGAAGCTCTGCTGAAACCTGTCCGCCATGGGTGAACGTGCTGGTATTTGAAATACCAGTGGCATAGCTCCAGCATCATAGCCACATTCAAGCTAACAGTATGACAAATTGACAGACGAGTGATGGCAATGGAATACTACTCAGCAATAAAAAAGAACAAAATTACAGACTCACATAACAACATAGATGAATACAAAAAATATGTTGTTGAATGAAAGAAGGTGTCTTAGTTATCTAGTGCTGCTATAAGAGAACTACCACAAGTGGATGGCTTTCACAAACAGAAATTTGTTCTCTCACAGTCTAGGTAGGCTAGAAGTCTGAATTCAGGGCATCTTCTCCAGGGGAGTCTTTGTTGGCTACGGAGGAAGGTCCTTGTCATCAATCTTCCTCTGGTCAAGGAGTTTGTTAGTGCAGGAACCTCGAGTCCAAAGGACACGCTCTGCTCCCAGTGTTGCCTTCTTGGTGGTATGAGGTTCCCCTGTCTCTCTGCTTGCTTCTCTCTTTTATATCTCAAAAGAGATTGGCTTAAGACACTGTCTAATCTTGTAGATCTCATCAGTATAACTGCCGATAATCCATCTCATTAACATCATAGTGATAGGATTTACAACGCATAGGGAAATCATATCAGATAACAGAATGGCAGACAATCATACAATACTGAGAATCATGACCTAACCAAGTTGACACATATTTTTGTGGGACACAATTCAATCCATGACAGAAGGCAAATTCAGAAGTATGATTCCATTTATATGAAGTCCAAGAACAGGGAAAACTAATCTATGGGAATAGAAATCAGAATAGTGATTGCCTCTGGAGTGGGAGATGGAGGACTAGAATTGACTGGGAAGGGCACAAGGGAACTTTACTGGATGAGGGCAATGTTCTACATGTTTGGTTACTTGGGAGAATACAATTGTCAAAACTCATCTAATTGAACACTTAGGATCTGTGCGTTTTATTGTATATTAATTATGGTTCAATAAAATGTTTAATGAATAGATTTTTTAAAAGGCTATAGTTAGCTTGTTTTCCTGTTTCATAGTCCTAATTATATTTATCAGGATTGTCATCTTTTGCAATGTTAGATGACATAACATCTTAGCTGTATATCAGGAGTTCTTAACCTGCAGTCCGTTGATAGTTTTCAATAACTCCACGAATCCTGTGAAACGGAATGAGCAATTTTGCATGTATTTGTATGTATTTGCATGTATTTACTTTTTTCTCCCTGTGGAACAGGTTCATAGCTACCATCATATTCTCCAAAGGATCTGTGCCCAAAACATTTAGAACAGAACCTCTGCATTAGATGGTTCAAACAGAATGTGCAGGAAACAATATCAGTAGTTAAAGATGAATGAATGAATAAATGACAAACTGTTTTAGGTTGATGTTCAAGGAACCAAGCCCCTAATAGTTTGCAGATTAGAACTGGCTGATGTCAGTGGCTTCATGAAACTAGCAAAAATTAGACTCACCTTCTTTCAGGCCTGAGAAACAGGATAAAGTCCTGATAAGAATAGCAGGCAGAGTCAGTGTACCATAAAAGTGCCTGCAATTACGGTTATAGAAAAAGATGTTATTCAAAGTGTCATATATATTGTGCCTATTTTAAATATTGAAATTAAATGAATGTACTAGAAGCAACAGCTATGATTACACTGTAAAAAATTATTTAATGCTTTTTTCTTGACAGGAAAAAAACAATTACCATAGTTAATGCTAACAGAATTGTATCAGGTACTGCTTGGCTAGTGTTTGACAAAAGAAGATACTTTTGATTGGCTCCATTATGGCAATTTTCATATACTGAGTTTTGAGAATTCGTTGTTCACTCTCAGTCCTGGATTGCAGGGAGACAATGCAGCGTTAAATTGATGGCACAGGGGTGTAAGCGCTCTTTGTGATATGAAGTTGCTCCAAGAACACCTGAGAATCTTGGCTTTCTTTTATTTGGTTATTGACAGGTTTCTGTGGTCTGTTTTGTCCGATATGTCTTGAGTGTGACATCGCCAGGCATTATGGAGAGTGTCTTTGTTGGCCATTATTACCTGGATCTTCCTTTGCACTAAGAATTGGCACCAGAGAGAGACATAAAATATGGGTAAGTGTGTTTAAAGGTATATGTGAACCTGGATATATGTAAGAACCTGGATGTCCTCAACACCTGTGATTTCCCCAAAAAAAGGAGGTGTGAGGAAGAAGTTTAAAAATACCACACTTTTCTTAGTGGTAGACTTTGGGAAAAGAAATGGAAGATATTTCTGATTTAATTCATTACCAGAAAATATAAGTTAACTAATATGCCATATTATGAAGGGTATTTTCAGGGGGACCTATTATTATGATGCAGATTATTGGTCAATGGCTTGCTTAGCCCATTGGCCAAATTGTGCTCCTTGAGCCATAGTTTGATGAAGAGTAATAGGAGGATGCATAGGAGCCCTGATGGCACAGTGGTTAAGCATTCAGCTGCTAACCAAAAGGTTGGCAGTTCGAATCCACCAGCTGCTCCTTGGAAACCCTATGGGGCAGTTCTACTCTGTCCCATAGGGCTGTCAACTTGGCTAAATGGCAATGGGGTTGGTATTTTTTTTTTAACAGGAGGTTGTAGCTGTTGTTAGTTTTACCCCTTAAACCAACACACATTCTCTTCCATCTATAGAAATAAAACTACTCTTCTGCCTGTCTCTTATTGCCTCAAAAGAAAATGATAGAATTCCACCAAATTTGGAAGATATGATTGGGATGATCTGACTTAAAATATACTGTAGATGGCATATACAGCATTCACTTTGGGGGTTCCCTCAAAAATCCAGACAGTCAATTTTCAGCATAGCTCAGACTGAGGTACACTGAGATTGGGGAGAGATAGTTCATGCATATTAAGATGCGGACAGTTAAATAAAAAGGTCCATTTTCTTGTATTGATATGGAATGAGTCCTAAGATTATATTTTTATTTTTATAATTTCACTTATTTTTTAAAAATAATGTATATATATATATATATTTGGTGAAAGTTTACATAGCAAATTAGATTGCTATTTGACAATTTCAACACAAATTATTCATTGACATTAGTCACAGTTTCCACATGTCAACATTCTCTTTAATTGTGTTCTGGTTATTCTGTTTCCCTGCCCCCTTATCATCTCATCTATGCTTTAGAGTAAGACATATTTTTAAGCAGTGAGGAGGGGGAAACAAGGCACAGAATTATGCAACTATTTACATTAGAGGACTATATATGTATATGCTTGTGTAGGCATGTGTAGAATTTATCTGGAAGGGTACATAAGAAACTACTAACAGTGTTGCCCTGGAGCAGGTAACTGGGTGGCTGGAGATGGCTGTGGAAGGGGGATTTACTTTTTACTTCATATCCCTTCTTACTTTTGGAATTTTGGAGCATGTGTTTTAAAACTTGATATAATAGTAATGTTTGAGGTCGGGTAAGGTCGAACGTGACTCAAGAGGGAGCAGCTGGAAGCATTTAAAGCTTTATTATACTCATAATCCCTGGTGTTCACAGCATGCCCGGCAGGGCTACATGGGGAGGACACAGGGTGTAGTCACGGGCAGAGACGGAGTGTGACTGTGGACAAGCACCTCTATTGTGGTTTTCGCAGGAAACATGGCAGGGAGAGGTCAGAACAGGTGGGGTTTTTATTGGTCACCCATATTTGAAATTTGTGCCTTGGGGCTTGAGGTGTTTACCGAAGGGGAAGCTGAAGGAGTATTATCTAGGTATAGCAGACATGGGTGGAGAAGGGTTACTTGGTGTGGATGTTAGAGCATCGTATTACAGAAGAAAGTATGGTTAATACACCATGTGCTCTTATTACCTACTCCAAATAAATAAATGAAATAATTATAAAAATTAGGTTCTAAAAGAAAAAAAAAGGTGTTGATAGAGAAATCAATGGTTTCAAGGTGGTCCAGTGGTTTTAGTGGTCCTAAGAGCGGGTCTCTGAACTGCAGGTATTGATTAGCAACCGAGCTGCTTCGCACTTGGTGCTGGGTTCTTGGTGCTGACTGAAGGGTGTTGGTGGATCTTGGAGGCGGTGGGCGGGATGGGCCAGCAGGTCATATTGTATAGGTCCCTGGGTGATGGAAATGAGCTAGCTGATGATCAGGACAGAACAGAGACCGGGGTCTCGCCCTAGGGCACACTGTGCGAGGACTGGCTGGCGGTGCACTGCTGCTGGCCTTTTTCCGTCTGCCAGGTGGCCCGGGAACTCAAGATGAGGACCTCCCAATTCTACGAAATCCGGGAAGCTCCTTCCACTAAGGACGCCCTGGTTTGACGGAGCAAGAGAACCCCTCCCCGTCATACCCCTCACTCCCTGCACCTTCCTCCCAAGCCCTCTTAGTAGAAAGATTTTTCTGCTTCCTAAGTTTTCACTGAAACTGCTAAAATAAATGATTTCCCCCTACTGTCTCTACTGTCATTCTCTTTTTACACATACCCCTGCTGAAGAGTCTATTATTTGTCTAGGTTTGTGGTTCTAGTCCAGCCATACGAGGAAAATTCTAGAGGTGAGTCTTGTGTCCTTCACCATCCATCTGGAGTTTTGGAAGGTTGCATTGTTTTGCAGCTTCCTACTGCCATCCTCTCATGAGAAAGGATTGTTATGCGGCTTTCTTATGCTGTGCCATGTCTCCCAAAATACTAGTGATAGGGCAGGAGATGTTTAATTTCATTTAACACCTGGACTGGGCACTAAATGTCACTGAAACACATAGACTGTCAGTCCCACATTCTGCCTCATTTGGTCCTAATGGCATAAAGGTGAAAGTCTCAGGTTGGTGCTTATCTTGAACACCTTGTGAATCTTCTTCAGGATCCAGGCTCAGAGTCTTGGGTGAGCAACTGCATCTACCATGTGAACTGAATACTCTTGTTTTTGTTAAGGCACTTACACAGCACAGCAAAGGGGTGAAAAGATTGAGTTCTGCAGCCTGAATTGCCTCTCCCATTTACCAACCCTACCCTTTCCACTTACTAAATGGGTAACTGTAGGCACATTTGCTAGCTTTTCTGTGCCTCAGTTTCCTCATCTATAAAATAGGAGTGAGGAAGAATAACCTCATAGGGTTGTGAAGATTCTAATGAGTGAAGACGTTTAGCACAGTGCCTGACCAGTAGTAAACAAAAACAAACAAACAAAACAAAACAAAGAAACCACCAAAAAAGTCCAAACCAGTTGCTATTGAGTCTACTCTCACTCATGGCAACCTCATATGTGTGTTAGAGTAGAACTGTGCTCCATAGGGTTTTCAATGGCTGATTTTTTGCAAGTAAATTGCCAGGACTTTCTTTCAAGGCACTTCTGGGTGGACTCCAACCTATAACCTTTTAGTTAGCAGCCAAGTGCATTAACCATTTGTGCCACCCAGGAACCTGGCAAGTAGTTTAAAAAAAAAAAAACCCAAACCCATTGCTGCCGAGTGGATTTTGACTCATAGTGACCCTATAGCACAGGGTAGAACTGCCCCATAGAGTTTCCAAGGAGTGGCTGGTGGATTCGAACTGCCAACCTTTTGGTTAGCAGCTGAGCTCTTAACCACTACGTCACCATAAATGTTAGGTATTATTTACTATTTTACATTTATATTTGTAGCACATTAGTTTTCTATTTATAGTTGTGATAACAGGTTTTCTTTTAAGATAACTTTTAGATTAAAATGGTGTAAACTCAATTTACAGTTAATTTTAAATATTAAGTAAATAATAATAGAGGTGGTGGAAGACTGAAGAAGAACTGATGCCTCTGAATTATGGTGTTGGTGAAGAATATTGAATATACCATGGACTGCCAGAAGAACGAACAAATCTGTCTTGGAAGAAGTACAGCCAGAATGTTCCTTAGAAGCAAGGATGGTGAGACTTTGTCTCAAGGTACTTTGGAGAAGGACATCATGCTTGGTAAAGTAGAGGGTCAGCAGAAAAGAGGAAGACCCTCAAGAGATGGATGGACATAGTGGCTGCAACAATGGGTTCAAACACAGCAGTGTTTGTGCGGATGTCAAAGGACTAGGCGTTGTTTTGTTCTGTTGTACATACGGTCGCTGTGAGCTGGAATCGACTCGACAGCAGCTAACAACAACAATAGTGGTGGTAGGTGGATATGACCAAAATTGTGAAGGTGGTAATACTAATTGTACTGAGCACTTGTATGTGCCAGGCACTGTTCAAAGCGCTGTCCATGTTTTAAGACATTTCATCCTTAACATCCCTCAGGAAAGTGCTAAATTATATCCCCATTTTTCCAGAAGAGGAACCTGAGCCACAGAGAGGTTAAGTAACTTGACCAAGGCTACACAGCTAGTAAGTGATAGGCAGTCGGGTTCTTGAGGCTATGCTTCTAACCCCTGCACTAGGCTAGTAGAGAAGGCTTCTGACCAAGAAGCCGTCTTGTGCCCACGTGTTGCACAAACAGGAGTTTGCTCTAAGCAGGTGAACTCAGCTGCTCAGGGCTGCGAGGAAGTGTCACTTAATCCTGCTTCCTCCTAGCCCAAACTAAGCAATTCCCTTCTGACAAAGAGACCCATCCCCCCAGCCCTCCCACTTGGACGTCTGTAGCAGCTGCCAGGAGTTAAAGTCCTTTGGGGAAAATTAAATATTCAATGTTGACATTTAATCTGTGATAAATACTCCCTTCTCCAAGTCAGCTACTGAAAAAAACCAGACCTGTGGGACAACTCTGTTAAAGGAAAATAAACCGGTTTTATTGTTTCATGCTAAACACATATTGGGCTTTACAAGCTTACAGCTGGGAACCATATGTATTTTTGGCAAAGGAGACTTGGGTAATCTCTCCACTTTCGCACGGCTGACCCCTCCCGGCATGAAGAGCAGATGATATTTTGTGCACTGGTTTCTGGTGCTGTTCTCTCAGCTGATGTAAAAGGTGTAAGGGGACCTCTCCAGCAAGGTAGTCCCCTCTTTTCCCCTTTACTTCTTCTGATCACTCTGTGCAGTAAAGAGCAAACTTAGCACTTCATTAGAGTTACAAACCCAAACAAGTGACACTCTGTGTTCTGAAAGCATTCAGTTGACCATGGAAACACAGGCTGTAAAGGGGAAAATTAATATGTGGATAGTTCTTTGAAAACCAATGGTGGAGAGTGGTTCTGAAGGGAGGTAGCTCAGGGCCATGACTTCTGGTTTCCTCTAGAAGACATCAAGTCCAAGGAAAAAGGACTTGACAAAAATCTGTGTTCCCCTTCTAGGAGAAAGGTTATCCAACACCAGATATTTAAGTGAGAGACAACAACTCTGATATTAAACACTCCATATGCTCAGCCTTACCAAAAGCTGTCAGTGGTACAAGTGTGAGAGTTACCCAACAGTGAAGGCACGTTCTGTGTGTTTTTCTTCTCACTAGAAAATTCCTTTTGATTTTTCAGGATGCAAAGTGTGGAACAGATTCTGATGACTCCGTGTGGGTAAACACCACCAACACACATGCAACAGATATTTCAAAGTAATCCACACATATCATTATAAATTACAAAGCCAGAAAAACAAATAAAAAAAAAACCCCGAAACCTCTTGGTTTTATAGTGGAATATACTAAGGAAATAAGCTGCCATCCCTGGAACTCTATTTTTTTGGAACAAAGATATGAAAGGTTTGGAAGTCATTAAGTGTCCACTGTCCTATGCAATAATTTTTTGTATGTTTATATATTTTATATCTAAGGTTTATTTATACAATAGTCCATAATGACTTCTTATACATATCCTTTTTATAAACATTATTCATGTACATTTTAACTCACAAGATTCTCTTTTGGTCTGTTAAAAACACTGTACTTAACAAAACAAGCACAGTCACAAGAGTTTGTAGCTTTTCTGCTTGTATTTTGGTGGAGGAGTGCATTTTTCTCCCCTGACATTTTCTCCTTCCTCTTTCTCCGCCTAAACACTGCCCTCTTCCCCTGACCCAACAGGTAGTAATAAGAAGCAACAAATCCAGGAAATGAAACATCAGACTCCATGGTAAGCAGGGTAAATTTCTGGGCTGACCTCTTAGAATCATTCTATTTCATCCTTCTCTCCTCCCCTTCACCTCAACCCTGCTGCCACCTTTTGATCCATGGCCATTTGGAATCTGTAGGTTGGAACTGACAGTCCAGAGCGGAAAAAACTTTAGGAAATGAGGAACTTTCACAAAGCTCCTGGGTTTGGCTGGCAAAAAAAAAAACCCAAATTCTTAATTTTGTGTTTAAAAAATTCTTTTCATTTATTATCTAAGTAGGTTCAAAGGAAGAGCTAAATCTCCATGAATCCTCCACTCCAGGCCACAGAAATTTCCCAGGGACTTAAAGAACAGCATGTGTAAAATTTAGGAGTGTGGCTTCCTGTGCTCTAATCATGAGAGGGAGAAGCCAATGTAAGAAGAAGGAAATGTGAGTGGGAGGGCCTTGACGATAGCCAGTGTGATCCAATGGCTTTTGGCGACTGAAAGTTATGTTGTTTATCCTCCTAGCTTAATTAACTTGCCCTTGTGTGAGCTGCTTGTCTATACTTAACCTTTCCATACATCATCTATAAAATTAAGATTCCTTCCAACTCTGGCATTCTATGACTTTACCCTGGAAAATGAAATCATTGAAACCTATTTATAGGTGGGCTATAAGGCCTTATAGTAATAACAAGTAGAGTCCAGAACTTGAAGGCAGCATCTCTATACTCATTGCTGCTGAGGCTAAACAGAAGCCAACCCAATTCGTCACAGAGGAAATGGAACCAACACTTAGTCACAGTAGTTTAGAAGAGAGGGATGACTGACAGTTGGCAGCACTATCTTTGGCCGTGTGTGAAAAGGAGAGGTCATCATTGGATTATCCTTTCTGTGGGCTAACCATGCTTTTTGCCTTCTTACCCACCCCCTGGCACATAAAGCCAGGACTTTGGGGGTTTCTTGTTGCTTATTATCACTTTCCTTTGTGGTTAACCAAGAGAAGAGTGTGGTTAAGAAGTCAAAGTTATTCAGCCCATGAAAAGATGGGTGCCAGTTTGAGTCCTGTATGTAACAGGTTTTCAGAGAAGAAAACAGCTCTGTAACCAAAAAGCACAATCCTTACTCTGCTCCAGGGATTGGCTGATGCTTGCTGCTGTTACAGACTGGATTGACTTGATGAAAGACTGAATATGTTTCAGTGCAAAATTATGATTGTGAACTCTAAAACAACCCACATGCCCAGTGGATGCTGCATTCCTGTTATAATCCTTGATAACCCAGGCAGCATGTGCTTTTAAAAATGAAATTCTTATTGATGTCTTAAGTTAGGGAAGAAGATGATAATGTAGGGCTCAAAAAATTTTAGGGTATTTGTGAATTTCAGTTATCTA